GAACAATAAATTCTCTATTTCCATTAAATATCGTAAGTGTGTTGTTCGCTTGACCAAACTAATGATTAGAGGTTTGATTTTCTTAATCATAGGAAATTGTACGTCGAAATCAGCAATAGTTTGGCAACATCAGCTTGCCTTCCGCATTAAAGAGTAGATCCCTTTGTTCGTCTTGATGAGGTTTTCGACATTGCATATATGCAGTGTTTTCGTTGTTAGCCATTTGTTTGTCTTAGAACAACTTTCGATTTATTCTTGCAGGTAGAATTAGATTATCAAAACCTTAACTTTCGGTTATACATTTAAAATATAAAAACAAAAAAAAAGTGAAAAATTAAATGAAATTAAAAAAAATACTTAAGAGATTGATTCTACAAAGATTTATGGTGCATAATGGTTAACAAGTAAGAATTAAGCTAAGTAAAAAATCACAATTTTGGTAGTTTACGTGGGATACATGGCATCAAGTAATTTGCTTAACCCAAAAAAAAATATTTTATCCCAAATATTCCTCCATCCGTTGTTCGAGCCCGAGTCGAGGGCTCGGGTGATGGATATTAATTTCCTCTGTCTTTTCCATAATTATAAGTGTTTCTCTGGAAATCCAATCTTAAACGCAATCATACGACTATGCGCTCATAATCTTACAGCCCAAAGCTCGAGTCCAAGACATCTGAAGGCACGGGATTCCCAATGAAGGCATGAGTTTGAGTCCTTAAATTTGGGGATACGAAAACCCAAATAGAGGTCTTAGCCTGAGTCTTGAGATCTGAGGGTACGAGATTCCTGAAGGCCTTTGCCTGAGTCTGAAGACATGAGACTCCATATCTTCATCAGAGGTAGCGATAACCTAAATCTTGAGTCTTGATAGGAAGCATGAAAACTCTCACGGAGACCAAGAGCCTAAGTCAAGCAATTTGTCTCGTTAGAAACTACTAAACAAATCCAACATTCGAGAGGATAAAGCTAGGAAACCAATTATGCTCCCCATAAAATCATCATCTAGAAACCAATCGATAACGATAAATGTAACGCCCGTGAACTAAAAAGGGGATTTTTTTGGGCATGAGTGTCGATCGACACGGAGTAAAATCAGACCGACGGTTTCGGTTTCTGATTTGCCGGTTTGGGGAGCGGTTTAGGGGACACCCTAGGGTTTGTATAAAAGGGCTGGAACAGGCGCGTGTTGGTCTCATTTTGGCCGAAAATCAGAGAAAGAGGAGGATTTAAAAGAGAATCAAGGGAGGTTGTGAGTTGGGTGTGATTGAGGGTGAAGGACAGCTTCTGTTCGAGTGTTTGAGAGGGCAAACGGCTGGGCAATTCGAGGAGGATCGGGGTGAAACTTTGTGGGTAAGTTCTACGATCTCTGGTCTCGATATGGGAGAAATCCGTTCGTCATTTCGTTGAATATTCGTTGAGTTATGGCTGTTTGAACTCGATAGGGTTGTGCAGACTTGTTGCTGCGATCAGTCGGCTTCGGGAAGGCTTTTCGATCGAACCAGAATGACTTAGGAGACGATCAGCCTATCTATAGAAAGCTCTCTCTATCTAGTTTCTAAATCAGGTTTCCGATCCTGATTCTGAGGTATTATCCGTTCTCGGTGTGCTTTCAAAGTCAGTGTGTCGTTCTTGTCTTCTGAAATCCTAATTCGGTTTAGGTGATTTTTGGAGGAGACAAACGGCTAGGCAAACCAGGTCGGATCGGGGTGAAACTTTGTGGATAAGTTCTCCAATCCTTTTTCTTTATTTGGGTGAAAACCGTTCGTCAATGGGTTGAGTATTTAGGGAGTTATGATTGTTTTAACTGGGTAGGTTTCTGCAGTTTTCTGCTGCGATCAGTCCACTTAGAGGGAGGATTCCCGTCGAAGCAGAAAGAGTCTGGAGACGATCCGCATACCGACGTGTAGCTTGTTCTGTCTAGTTTTCAGAACCGTATTCCGATTCGGATTTGGATAATCCTTTCGTCGTGTGCGGGGCGTTCTTGTAGGCGTCATGTTCTTCATCTTTTCAATCCTTTCGAGGTGAGTGCGTGACTGTAGGTTTATCTGGGTAAAGGGATTGACCCCAATGCATTGTT